GCGAGGATCTGGGTCCTCGGCAGGCCTAAAGGGCCCTGATACAGATGTGCCTGCCCTAAGTGAAGGCGGGCCTGACAAAACCCGAGAGGCCCATAGCTGTCGATTTCGTATTTGGGGGCCCAGGCAATTGTGACGCGGCAGTTGGTTGAGGAAAAACAGGCCCAAGCAGCAAAGATTTTCCACGGCCTTCCAGGCTTTTCCTGAGATGCAGACCCTGGGCGAGAATCAGAGCATCATACACAGACGGTTGGGAGGCCCAACCGAACAAGGCCCAGCAGCTGCAACCGAGGTGCAACCTCCGGGGCCTACTGGAAGCTTCTGGGCACAGGCCCAGCCCAGCCAGGCCGCCAGAGGGCAGGCAGGCTCTTTCCATACAGGAAAGAGCTCGCTGTCTGGAAGGGGTTTCAGGCACTTGCATGCTAGCGGCAGTGCTGCTGGAGCGGACACTCGTGGGCTGCTGCTGGCGCTAAGGGCAAGGTGCAAGCACGTGCGGTCGTGCGAGAAGCAGGGCGCTGCTGAGGGCAGCGCCATAGCCCAGCCTCCATAGCTGGCTGGGGATTGGTCTACAGTGAGGCGCAGGGGTGGTCTTCGGGTGTACAGAGGGAAGACATGGGTGTAAGTCGAGGGGGAGAGAGAAGGATGATGATGATGATGATGTGAGGGCACATACCTGGTATTGGCGATGGTCTCCATTGGGCGACATCTTCAAGTACTTCGTTGGCTGCTGACGTCAACAGTTGCATTGTCAATTAGTAGGCAGACAGTAGCTGTGTAGGAAGTAGGCTGGGCGCCGAGCGCCAAGTAGGGAGATAGGCCTGGACACTTACGTTGGTGGTGGCGAGAGCAAGCTCTCATTGACATTCGGTTTTCAGTGTTACGATTCTCCATTGGTGTTATATTGGTGAATGCTGCTTTCTGGACACTGTGATACTCTCTGGCTTTCAATGTGATTGTGCAATCTGGGTATTGTCATCTCGCTATTGCTCATTTTCCTTGCACTTAAAATAAAAAATGAAAGTAGGGATCTACAACCCTTTTTCTTTTTTTTCTTTTTCTTTTTTGTGCGTATTTTTTACCGGAGAAAAAATAATTCCCATGCCCGCTCAAGGTGCTTTGAGCGCGGCGCGCTCAATCAGCGTGCTTTTTCACAATGGATAAGCATAGATGACTACCACACACGTGCACACACACACACACACACACACACACACACACACACACACACACACACACAGAGAGAGAGAGAGAGAGAGAGAGAGAGAGAGAGAGCAGCCCTCTTTTTCAAATAAATCTGGCAACATTTCTGCACCAACGCGCCAGAAAAACGTTCGCCAAATTAGTCGAGCAGAATGAAAACTTGTTAGGTGATTAGGCTGTTGAAAGTGGCTTCTCATTATCGAAGTGCTTCCCATCATGGAAGTAGCGCGCACACACACATACACAGGGCCGAGAGAGAGAGAGAGAGAGAGAGAGAGAGAGAGAGGGAGAGGGAGCTAGATTTTTATTTTACTTTTTCTGGGAAGTGCTAGATAATCAAGCCTCTCTGAAGGAGGCACGAAAAAGAGAAAAAAAAGAGTGCATCTTCCCACAGAAGAGGGGAAAATACATTGTCTGTGAACTCCGACAGTTGTGTCCACCTCTTTTGTTTTATCTGTGGTGTTGCTATGCCCATCGCCATGGAACTGACCAGGGCCCTAGATTCAGTGCACCTGGGCCTTTCTCCTTTAGCTCGTAGAACTCATCGTCTCGACTGTTCTGCCGACCTGAAGTTTCCATTGCGGTCTTGGAAACTTCATGCCACGAGTCCCGTGACTAAACTGCCTTTACGAGTTCTATTTGCCTGAATAAGAGCACATGGATCTTGACTGAGTAGCAGTTGTCCCCGAAAAGAAAGGACTATAAAGTTCGTTAATAGACATTTTTCAAGAACTGGGGCGTGGTCCCACTTACACAGTTGAGTGCAACTAGCTTTTTTTTATAAAAAAAAGGCTAATTCTTTAAGCCCAACCAATTCAGTTAGTACCTGCCTCCCCTGGGCGATACCGGCCAGGGGTCAGCTGGTAGCATCAGGACCGAGCTTCTTCGATGGGCCAGTCACTGTGCCTCCCCTCCGGTCCCCTCCCCCTATGAGCATCAGCAGTCTCTCCTCAATGCCACTCGGGGGGACCAACGGCATATCTCTAGGTGGCGGGTGCCAAGCTTGCCCAGGAAGGTACATGAGGCCAACGGGGATTGAGCCCATGACCTCCTGAATGCCACTTGCGTGCCTTACCAACTGAGCTAGGCCGCTGGATGAGTGCAACTAGCCCAATGGTGCAGCACAGTTATTGTGAATAGAAAAGACAAAATAAATGATAAAAAAATTGAAATTAAAAAAAAATGAAACAAATGTTGCTAATAACTGCCGCCCCTCGCTCAATTGGTACACCACTGAACTGTTGAAACACAGACCTGAGTTCGAACTCCATTGGAAGCAGATGAATAAAATTATAAAATGCTGCAAGAATTCTGATTCTCTGAATTACCTGGGGCGGGTCAGGTCAAATGATGATATCTCAAGGCTGTAGCTCTTTTTTTTTTTTTTAAGAAGCAAATGCTGCATAAAGATTTTGCCGATAGTTTTGAACAGGTAAATTGTGGAAATAAAATATGCCCGAGTGAAACGAACGAGGACAGCCTGGATGGCCTGGTGCATTTATCACCCATCGCAAAAAAGAGGGAGGGAGTTTTGAGGCTTCATGGCCGACCACACCATCAACACTCTCTGGGGGTCGCCACACCACTGTCGAAACGGAAAAACAACAAATGCATCTTCCCACAGAGAAGGGCAAGATGCATCGTTTACTATGAATACCAACAGATGCATCTTACCACTTTCTGCGGAATATGCATTCGTTCTCTTCCCATTTTGACAGTGGTGTGGTGAGGCCCTGAGTCAATGGAAATCCCGGTTCCCACCCAAACCAGAAGGGCCAAAGCATGCAAGAAAAAGGATGATAAGGGACAAAATAATCCAGAGAATGATTTATGATACATCAAATCTAATAACAGGTTCGAGCTGAATATATCCCTAAGACGGGGCTCTGTGCCAAACATGACACGTGGTTGAAAACTTAACGCTGAGCTAGATCTTGGTCAATGTTGTAATCAGGTCGTGGCCTCTGACAGCCTTTTCTCTTTTTCTTTTTGTTAAGAAAGACGGGCAACGAATTTGAGGTATCATTACTTAAACCACCAGTACTTCCCAAGGTCTCGGCGGTTAACAAGCCGTGACAATGATTGAACGAGCAGGCCACTAGGGRAGCACCCAAATTTAGTTCATGCGACTACAAACGCTTCTACTCTATTTTTTCCTGTGGCCGATGAATGGGCCAAGTGCTGGTGGCTTAACTGACCAGCCCCGGGTAGTCTAAGAAGTATTTTATATTCTGTTGATCTGGCTGCATGTGGATCCGAACTTGGGTCCATATTTCARTCACTAATGGGTGTACCAACTGAGGTAGGCGCATTGGCAGTAGCCTTTTTTCAGKTTTGTTGCTTTTTTTTTTTGTACTTCAAAAAATATATATTATTCTCCTCCCTCCGGCCCTGGGTGGCTTGCCCTTGCAGCTCCAGCGGAAGGCGACTGTGT